TTACATAACCATCACCCTAAGGCATTAAAGACATTTACAGTAAAAAGAACAATACAAGCACACCACAAACGCAGTGTAGGCTACAAACCCACAGGGGAAAATCCTAGTTAGCAAACATAATGCAAGAATGTTTTGTTATATAGACAAAGATAACTGACTTGACCATTGATTGTGCACTGCTGCTGCAAACATGGAGGGTTTTGTGAGAGTCAGAGAGGGAGGGAGGGATTGCGACAGGGTGAGAAAACAGCTAAGAGGCTGATTGTAACTGTTATAAGGTTTTCTGGAGACTACAAATGGATGGTATACACACACACACTTCATCAGGGGCCTGTTTAAGCAGGACAAAGGCGTTAGCTTCAGCAGAAACCTGCTCCCCTTGCTCTGCAGCAGCACACTCAGCAGTTCACTGCAGGGTGATTTCATAACTGCAGTCTAGAGAAGATAAGACAACAAAGACCAGACCATCACTCATCAACCAGTCAAAGCTAATGTCCAAAGAAAGCATCCCACAGGGGATATAAATGTTGTCCATGGTGCTGGGTGAGCATGGACGAAGAAACAATCTAATATTTCTAATTGATTCTAGAGAATTGTAGCATCAAGACAGGGGGTAGATGACAAACATAGTAAGATGGAAAGCAAGAATGACACAGCGAGAGAAAAGAGAGCTGCTTGGCTTGGTGTTGGCAGGGGGGGTTAGATAGCTCAAGGTCAGAAGCAAAATGGACTGTTCTGTGAGTTGCAGCAGGCTCTGAAATACCACAGGCCAGAGAGACTGGGCGAGCCCTCGGCCAACACCTGACCTCAGCAGCCTTCTCCCTTCCTCTGCTCCTCTTCCACAACATTCCTCTCCTCTCTCTCAGCACTGTTTCTCTGCCTCCTAGTCTTCCCCCATCTCTCTGTGTCCAAGACGTGCATCTTTTGGTTACTGTGCATCCTGTGCTTTCCCATCACTGACCTGCTGATAGGCCAGTCAACAAACTGTACAGTGATCAGACACTGCATACTTATACAGTGCAACTGATTTCAATTTAATTTATTTTACCAGGATTATGAACTCAGTACCAATAATACTTTTAAAAAATACTGAAAACAGGAATTTTATGACGGGAATTGTCCATAAATAATACAAGGCACTTTAATATTTCTATCATATGCAATGGTACAGTCATTTGAGGCATGAACATTTCACTCAGTGTAAAATTATAATGCTTCAATAAACAGTTGGTACAAGTTGATGCAGAATATATTTTTAATGTAGTATAATGGAACACAATCGGAATATGAAATATAACACCACAGTAATTGGATAGCAAAGACAAATGTAGTAGATAGATACAGTGCATTTAGGGGACAAACTACTTTTTGTGGCTCTGAATTTGCAGAACCTTGCTCTTTTTTGTGTGTTTGTGTCTGTTTTTGGAAAAGCTCAGTTGTAATCTGTGTTCAGAGCAGCTGACAGCTGAAAGCAGCTTGTTGTTTGCAGATTAAACTCTGTTCCTTCAATAGAACAGACCAACCCTAAGGTCAGCTTTTGAGCAAGTGAAATGTTCCTGCACTGCAGTATCTGGGCCAGTGTCATGTGTGAGTGTTTGAGGGTCCTGTGGTGAGAGTAAAGTATTATGTTTCTATTTTATTTATTAGTCTCTTATGTAAGCACCAGCAGGGGACAGGACATACTGAGAGAGGGGTAAAGGGCACCGAGCTATGAAACCCAGTCAGGGTACACAAAGTTATTGAGGTGGGCAATGAAACTAATAGAATTATATTATGTGAAGAAAGAGACCCAGTGACACAGCAATACGGTAGGTTTAGAAAAACACAACAGTGATTCCTCCAAAACTTTTTATTTTCCTGAAATATTTTCTTAAACATTTGTTAAATTAAATGGGGACCAACTGATAGACTGCAAGTTAGTGCAGAGAGAGAGGAAAAAATTCTTAATTTTATGTCTTTTTATGTAACTTTTATGATAACAAATGTGTCAATATGAGTATGAACTAGAACTGAAGAAGAGTTTCCCAATCCTAATACAGTATTCATTTTCACCACTTCCTGTCTGAAGAAGGTCTGCAGGGACTGAAACTTTAGTTTAAACACATTTTTTACTGTATTTTGAACAAGTATATAGCAGAAAACATTAGAGAAACAATACAAAACAAAATAATGCAATCTTTATTTACAGAGCTCTTTTCTAAACATTAGTTACAAAGCACATACAAAAAACCACACAAGGCAATAAATCACAACATAATATCAATGAAAAGACTTAAAACAATAAAATGAAATCAAATCAGAGAAAGCTTTTTGATATAAATATGTTTTAAGAAGAGATTTAAAGGTGCTTACACACTCTGATAACTTGAGTTTCTTTCCTGTGTTTAGGGGCTCCAGATGCAAATGCCCTATCACCTCTGGTTTTTAATCTTACTTCAGGAACAAATAGAAGACTTTTACCAGAGGATCACAGGTTATGTGCACGTTCATAAGGATTTAACAGATCAGAGATAGAATCCGGGGCATGGCCATACAGAGCTTTGTAAGTCAGCCGAAGGATCTTAAAATCAATTCTAAAACATACTGACAGGAGATGTGGTCAGATGTCTGGTTAATAGTCTCACTGCTCAGTTCTGTATGATTTGGAGACAAATGATACATTTTTGACTGACACAAGACAAAAGACTTAAAATAGTCAAGAAGTGAAGAGGTAGAGACGTGAACAGTGATCTCACTATCCTTAATGACAGAACTGATTGTATTTTTGAGATATTTCTAAGATGGTGAAAACACAATTGCACAAGTGTTTTGATTTGTAAGTCAAAATTAGGGGTACAGTCAAGCTGGACACTTAAATTTCTCATGACAGGCTTATTGTAATCCCACGGGGGAGCTAAAGATGACAAGATCTGTTTTGCTAAATGTTATGGGCCAGTTATTACAGTTTCAGTTTTACTTAAGTTGAGCTGCAAGAAAGTTTGCACCACCTCTTGATGTGACATAAATAATCATGATGAGTGTAATGCAATGTTATTGATATGGTGAATCCTGGAATGAAACCAAGGTATGAGTCAAGGAACATAAGCATGCAGAATAGCCAGATAAACACCTGAGAAGCCAATGAAAACAGTTATACACATATAGTATCAGGATACACATTAGTTAACCAGTGTTGGTAAACAAAAAGACGCTGAGACTGATGAAAACATATCTCTGTATACCTCAAGAGGCACCTGGCCTAATGCTTACCCAGCGGCTTTCCCCCCTTGGGCTTTACTGGCAGAATGACACCAAGTGACTCAGCTGTGTTTCAGTGTGAGTGAAAACATACTCCCCCTGCATTACTCTGCTCTCTTCTGCCAGTGCCCCCCCCCCCCTTTTTTTTTTTTTATTTTTTTTTTTAATTTTTTTACAACAAATGTGATGTTTCAGTTGGAAGCTTAGGGTAGCTGGGAGAAACAAATGAACTGATACAGAGAAAAAATGAGATGAGGGTGGAGGACTAAACTTCAATAAAGATTTGTAAAAAAAAAAAAAAAGAGAGAGAGAAAGAAGAGAGAAAACACAAAAGAAGGTGAAATGCTGCAGCCCTCCCCTCTATCTCATCCCCCTGCAGTCAGTGACTGTGTAGCAGTGCTTCCCCCTGTCTTCCCATCCCCCACCACTCCCACTTCTTACTTCATGGAACTGGGTTTACATAATCCACTGTAGTCTGAGATAACGCAGCACACCGCTACTGATGGGACCTTGTCTTTCAAGGCAACAACTACACACCATTTGCATGAATCAGCATTAAACATTCATAGTATCCACTATATATAGCTTAGCATGTGCTAAACTAAGAATAGATGGTTTCCACTCACTTCTGCGGGCTGCGTGAACAAGCATGTGCAACCATCTAGACACACCAGCCAGTTCTAATTAAAGCTAATTCTGAGTACAACCTGATGAGTACAGCTCACCCTCAGCAACGAGTGAGTTAGTCCCACATTGACTTCAGTCCAACCAAGCAGGTTCATTATGAATTTTCAGGGATCTTGTCTCTGATTCCAAACACTGTGAAAATACCAAAGGCCCTTTTAAAGCTCTCACATACACAAGTCTGTTCTGTGTTAACTGTACTCAAGGTTTTTTGATACGCTCCCCTGTTCTGACAGTAGTATGTGGCCATGTCACAGCAGTGTTTGTGGCACAGAGAGGCTGTTGTCAAGGGAGAGAATGCAGCCATTTTATGCAACTCTTACTTAATCACTTAATGTTTTACCAGTTTTGTATTCTGGGTGGCTACAGCCAGTTCTTTCTGGACAGGGCTGGGGGAGAGGCCAGATTCAGTGACTGTTATCTGTCTCTGAGAACCAACTTAAAGGTTTGTGTGTGTGGGAGTGTATGACACTGTGCGTCATTCTGACTGATGAACTTCAGTCAGGGCGGGATTCGTGTTTTCTACATTTCTCACTCATGGCTTATGATCAGTCACCTCACTTGGTCCCTAAAAACTGGAGTGTCGATGTACATGCTTTTTGAAGGTCCTCAAAAATCAGATTTTTAAATATTTCATAATCATATCAAACTGTTTGCTTTGCATGTTACTATTTGAAATTAAAATAGGTTTCTGTTAAATTGAGTAAAGGCTGGCACCACACAAACTAATTTCATAACAAGTATTGTCTGTCTGAGTTAGCTTATTCCTCTGTGCCACAGAACCCCACTCTAGTCCAAAAACTATTAAAAGTTGAGCCACACTGTTAAATTTAGTGACATGATTCTTCATTACAAGACGTGCACTGTAGTTTAGAAATAGTTCCATGGTCTAGTAACAACAGTCTCTCTTCTCTGGAGTGTCCAAGATCCTTTAACAAGCTGAAGCATGTAAA